GTTCTGCGCCGGACTTCCAGATGGAGGTGTCGATGCCTGTCAGGTATGGCCCACTTATGTTGCCATCAAATTGGAGATTGTTTTGCAATCATTTTAAATATGTCCACTATATCTATATTATAGTAATTAATGATATATTACTTCTACTAATAATCTAATTCATGTATTAATTTAGGCTGATTCTGGTGGACCCGTTAAATACAACGGTCAATTGGTGGGACTAGTATCCTGGGGTAATGAGTGTGCTTTACCCAACTTTCCTGGAGTGTATACACGAGTGGGACAATTCCGCGATTGGATTAAACAGAATAGTGGTGTTTAATGGACTTTATTTAAATTAATCTGGTATGTTATATTTTAAAGTTCATTAAATAATATAAATATTATTATAGTAAAAAATAATTTCAAATTATTGTATTTTCTATGAAAATTATTTATTGTACAATATAATCTTAAATGAAGATATATTTTATTTAATAAAATTCAAGTATTTTTGCAAATATCAAAAAATAATTTATAATAACAGGTGTATATTACTTCATAACTGTATCTTAATTCATAAGTCTTAAATCATCTTTTTATGAATTTTTAACTTACTTTAATTGCTGATTAATATAAACCATATGTTGTATTTTAAAATATTTTACACTATTCTTCATCATGTATTCTATAGTACAGTGTTCAATACAATACAGATGTATTGTAATTCTATCTAAAATATTAACTGATATTTAAGTATGGTAACATACAAATTGGTGTGGTAAATGGAAAATTTGTCATATTATAGATTAATTCTTGTACTGTACTGTGCATGAGAGTCCTTGCTTAGAATGGATATAAAATGATTTGCAATATGAAATGCAAACATAGTAGTAGTGTTAGGATATAAGTGTAGAATAACTCAGGAATCGAGAAAATGAATACGAATTGCAGAAAAACTGCTTTACTGTTCACACCATTAGAAATACGTGGCCTAACACTCAAAAACAGGATATGTGTCAGTCCTATGGGTCAGTGTTCAGCAGTGGATGGCGTTCCACAAGACTTCCATTTGGCTCATTACGGCTCGTTTGCATTGGGCGGCGCCGGTATGGTTATGGTGGAGGCAACCAACGTGGAGGAGAGGGGTAGAGCCACCCCAGGGTGCACAGGGCTTTGGAACGACACCCAAATGAATGCATGGAAACGGGCGACAGATTTAGTGAGTAAACTTGGATCAGTACCGGCCATACAGTTGGCACATGGAGGACCAAAGGCTAGTTGTGTCCCCTTTTGGGAGGGCTATGAATCGTTAGCCGACGAGAAGGGAGGCTGGCCTACCATTGGACCCACTGCTCAACCATTTGGAGGACCCGTTTGGAAAGTGCCGAAAGAGGCCTCAATTGAAGACATTCAAGAATTGACACATTTGTGGGCGGAGTCCGCTAAACGTGCCGTTACTGCAGGCTTTCGGGTAAACAATCGGATGTTTAGTATTTGTTAATAAATTATATTTAATTCAAATATTTTATATATTATTCACTGGTTTAGTGGTTGTATATTAATATTTACAGTACATAACATACAGTAACAGTAAAGTTCAGTATGTTTACTAATTTACAAATAATATTCCTGTAATTATTGTTGATTCATTAATTTGTGATATTATTATTACAGGTAATAGAGTTACATTACGCGCATGGATATTTAGTGAGTAGTTTCCTATCCCCGGCCACTAATCATCGGTCGGACAGTTACGGCGGATCACTGGAGAATCGGATGCGCTTTGCTATGGAGATC